ACTGTATTGTAAGTTGCTTCAGAGGTATTGCAAGTATTACGTACAACAATAAAAAATATGTGCATTGACATAAAAAAGGAAATTTACTTTTGGTACTTAAGTACTTTTAAAAGCAAGTACTTCTGTACTTTTACTTAAGTAAAAATCTGTCTTTACAACTTTTACTTGTAATGGAGTAATATTTGACCAGCAGTATCTGTACTTTCACTCAAGTAATGGAGTTGAGTACTTTGTCCGCCTCTGCAAGCGATCTTGTTTACAGCTGCATTGATTGGACTTGGGTTTGTGCTGTGCTGTCCTTTGCTGCTTTCTTGTGAACTTTGGACTTTGTGAAAGTTCTTATTTAGACCCTCAGCAAAAAAAATTAAGAAACTAGCATGTGAGAATCTGCTTGCGCTGATGTTACTGTTAAAACCGCCTTGCAGTTGTCTTTTTTCATACTTGACTGACACTTGTGATGAATGGGGACTTTAGCACTGGTTCAAGCCAAAACCAACAGTGAGTGTGAAAATAAAGAGTCACGGAAGGTCATTGGTGCCACACAAAAAAGTAGGCAAAAAAAAGTTTATATATTTGCAAGTGAATATCTTTGCATTATATTACAAAATAACAAACCAAGTGGGATGTAATTTGAAAGAAAGAAAAACATTTCACAAAAACACATTTGTTGGGTTTTAAATTAGAAAATAAGAGATAAACTGCCTACCATTCAAAAAAACGTTTACATTTTTTTCCGAAGAAGACTCTTATGCTCCAAGGCTGCATTTATAATACAATTACAATAATACAATTACAAAAACCATAAAATAAAATTGTGAAAAATTATCACTTAAAATAACATTTTTTATTTTAATATAATGTATCATTTATCCCTGTGTTGCGAAAACTGATTTTTTTTTTTTTTTTTTTTACGCAGCCATTACTCCAGTCTTCAGTGTCACATGATCCTTTAGAAATCATTCTGAGATGTTTATTTGGTGCTCATGACACATTTCTTATTATTTTCACTTGAAAATGGTATTATACGGATCGAATACGGATTATTATTTTTGTGTAAACTGATACTTTTTTTTTTCCAGGATTGCTTGATGAATAGAAAGTTTAAAAGAACAGCATTTATGTGAAATTGAATTTTTTTGGAACAATATTAAAACATTTACTGTCAATTTTGAGCTATTCATTGTGCCCTTGCTGAATAAAAGTATTAATTTCTTTGAAAAAATGTTAATGTCGACTACTCTGACTGACTGAC